TCCACATGTTAGGGTTCGTGTTTATCATGAAGATTTAAAACCAAGAGTTCCAGGAGTCAGCACTCATTTCATGACAAAGGCCAGGACAAAGATGGGTTCTAATGGATTCAGGAAAATCATTCTGCCCTGGAAGTCAGTGTCTTAGTTAGGGGTTCTATTGCTATGATAAAGTCCATGACCAAAAGGAACTGGGGGAGGAAGGAGTTTTATCAGCTTACAACTCTTAGGTCACACTCCATCACTCAGGGGATACAGGGCAGGGACTAGAGGCAGAAATAGAAGCAGAAGCCACAGAGGAACACTGCTTACTGGCTTTCTCCTCTTAGCTTGCTCAACCTTTTTTCTTGTACAGCTCAGGGCCAGCACAGGCCATAATAGTTGTGTCCTCATACATCTATCATTAATCAAAAAAATGCACCATAGGTTTGCCCACAGGTCAATCTGGTGAGGGCATCTACTGAGCTTCCTTCTTCAAAGGGTCTAGGTTGTATTGAGTTGAGAAAACCAACCAGCACTGTCAAGGACCTTTCTGGGCTGTCGTCTGGGCTGTGTAGGTATTGGTCATAACATTTTCTCTACAGCAGGAAAGTGTGTGTGTGTGATGAGACATCTCAAAGCACACCTAGAAATGAACTGAGCACTGTCTCTGGAGGGAATATGGAAGGCAGAAAGCAGCTCTGTGTCCTGCCACCTCTAGGTCCCATATCTTAATATGTCCATCATTGATGACTTGGCTATCTCTCCTCTCTCTCTCTCTCTCTCTCTCTCTCTCTCTCTCTCTCTCTCTCTCTCTCTCTGTGTGTGTGTGTGTGTGTGTGTGTGTGTGTGTGTGTCTCATAGCCAAGGCTGACCTTTAACTCCTGCTTCCATATCCCAAGCACTGAGATTATAGACATGCTCGACCATCCCTTGACATTTCCTCTATTTCATTTCTACTGAAAATGAAGGTCTATGGTGAGATGCTCCCTTCAACAGCTAATTCTGGCCAGTCAGTTGCAATGCTTTCCCATTTTCACTTTTGAGCTATCCACTTACAATGTTATCAAGCTCATGTTTCTTCCTTCCCAGTCCTGACTCACATATTTCTCACCTGAACCAGTCTGATTCTCCTATTGGTAGTTCCTGGGTGCTTGTCTAGTTCCCCATGTGTTGGGTCCACTTTTACTTGCAGCTCAGTCAAGGAGTCTAGGACAGGGTTTTCTGATTCATTGGCATCTGAATATATAAACACATGCATGATTTTTATAACATGGTTTTATTGCAAATACTAGGGTTCCTGTAAAGTCAACACAATTGATTATCTTGTCACAGATAGGTGAGACGAACCAATCTGAACCACTCCTATCATCTATACTCCAGAATACAAAATGACCCCAAGGAGCACTATGACTTGGATACCAGTTTTTATTTCACGTAACAAGCAGGACACTTAATAAAGCAATAACTTACATGACAAAATTCAACAATCAAATAAAGTGGAGGTATTAAAAATAAAGGTCAGTGCTGTACACAAGAGGGTACTGACCAAAGTGTGTGTGGTTGCCATTGTCCACAGCATGTGTACATGTTGTCCATAGTAAATGGACTTGTTCTGAGAAGCACCACTTACATAGGAAGCTTCCAGGAAACCCACCCAGTATGAGGCTGAGAGTGTCAGCTCCTGGGATGATCTTTGGGGTGACCGGAAAAGACAGCGGATAGAGGTTGGGATTGCTGCTGCCAATCAGAACCCAGGCTTCACAGTGGGGTTTGCCGGGGTATGGGGTTCTGGGTTCAGTGTCTCTCACTCTCAGGCAGAATTCACAGGGAAGTCATGGGTTTTAGCTGGTGAATGAGTTTCATAGCTCAAAATGCAGAGAGGACATCAAAGGCACTTTAGGAAGGACATCAGTTAGGAGCAGCTGCCTGTGGTGGTCAGGATTCCCCATGGCCCTCCTTTGAAGCCAACTCTGGGTCTTAGGAAGGGGACTCTGCCTCCCTGAGGCCCATGAGCACCATCTGAAGAGTCTACCTCCTCAGGCTGAAGTGCCATTGCAGGACTGTCTGCGAAGGGCTCCGCCTGGTGCCCATCCACATGCATTCCTGGGGAGGGAGCCAGCCTCATTACTAAGGAAAGCAAAACTGGAATTGATTGTGACATATTAACCTCATTCAGGGAGTGATCAATACCACGAAGTTTCAAGAGCTAAACCTTGTAATGATGAGGTAATGATGATGCTCAATCTGGCCGCCCTCTGAGGTCCAGCTTTGCAGCAAGGTGGCTGTGTGCTACTTCCTCCCTTGCCGAACCTCACAGGGAAATCACACACTGCTTATGGACAGGTTATGAAATCAGTTCATCAATAGATGAGTCTATAAGGAAATATAGCAGAGTTATAAGATGTATGTGTGTACTGTTGCCATAAGGAAGAGTGAGATGGTGTCATGTGTTATAAAAAGGATAAGCTGTTACTTTCAACACATACCTTTGCTGGGGTCTTGATCATCTTGTAACAGTCTAAACTCAAGCCCCAACCTCCCTTGGTATTTGTATGTAGCTCTATAAAGACCTGTCTTGTCCTATAGTTTGGGGATCCACAGTTCCTGGATCTCCTGGGGCTCAAAAGGCTAATGAGAGAAAGGTTGCTATGAGAAGACAGTGTGGCCACAGGAAGCACCAGCATTTCAACGCCCAACCTGGATGGCACTCCAAGACGGGAGGATGACTAGAGATGTGGCATAACATGTGATTGAAGTGTCACTCACCCGCCCAGACACTGATACCCATGTTTACCCCGGAGTCTCAGCTGTCCCTCCCTGTACTGAGGACTCCAGTGATTTCTCAGTCCCTTAAGCTTTCAAATGCATCATGACCTCACAGAATGTTACAGAGGTGTCTGAATAACATAAAACATTTGGGATAGCAATGACTGTCACAACCCTCATGCCTAGGAAGCAGCTTTTTTTAAAGTGTTAAAGTTAAGAACATTCTTGGCAATAGGGGTGATCCTGGCTTCAAGTTTTGCTCCACAAGAATTAAGTCAATGATTTGGGGGGCTCTGGGACTCATGTGACTGGTTCACCAGACTTTCTGAGGCACAATTATAAATGATTCAGGGATTTGGTTACACTATCAAAACATTAAGTCTGGGAACAAACTAACATATTTCTCATTCAAATATGCAAAATGTGTCTTCAAACAGGCAAAGTGGTCCTCGGCATGGAAGGCTTGGAGAAGCACCAGGTGCCTTCCAGAAATGGCAGAGTGATTAGGAAGAGTTAAAAGCTGTAGACACATGGGCCCAAATGTAGGTAAGAGCATCTCCATTCCTATCCACAGAGAGGCAAGCAGAGCACCTTAGAGAGAGAGGCCTCCCAGGGTAGACAAGTCAGACTCCACTAAGCTCAATGCCTGAGAATGTTAGGCTTGATCTCCAAGACACAAGGGTCAATCTAGAAGGTGCAGCATAATGTACCCCAAGAGTGCAGGGATGAGCAGGTTTGCATGGAGAATACAAAGTCCATTGGGCTTGAGGATATGGAAGGTGGATGGAAGAAGGCAGGCTGATGAGCCCTCACAGGGTGGCTAGCCGAGTTGTTCTGTGGCTCTCAAGCAGGAGTTATGTCAGGTTCTTATCAGACTTGTGTCTCTGAGGTATCCTCCTGTGGTAGTTTATTTTCACTATAAACTTGACTGGACTCAGAATTGCCTAGAATGCAAAGCTCTGAGCATGTCTGTAAGGGTGAAGGGTGTTTCCAAAGAGATTTAACTGAGGGAAAGCCCACAGCGAATATGGGTGGCATCCTCACATGGACTGGGATTTTGTACTGAATCCAAAGGAGGAAGAAATTGAAGCACAGCATTTGTCTGGCTCTCCTTCCTGGCTGAGGATGCAGTGTGACCAGCTGCCTCATGTTCCTGCTGCCATGCCTTCCCCACTGTGATAGACTGTAGCCTCAAACCAGGAGCCACAATGAGCCCTCCCTCCCTCCCTCCCTTCCACCCTCCCTCCACAGGAAACTAGCTAACACACTTTCTTAGTACACCCCTTGAGCCCACTTGAACAACCTGCCTGCAGCTGCCTCAGCAGGAGCCTCAGCTGGGCCCAAGGAGCAATTCACAGGGACCTGAGTATGCCATTATAGAGCAGTGAGCTGCCTCTCTGAGTCCACACTGCCTCAGTGAACCCACATTGTTCTGTAGGCTCCACACTGTGACTCCTTGGAGTCAAAGGGAATAACAGTTTCAGTAGGAACTGGGGAGACAGGCGCCTGTCTCCACCTGTACCCATGCCCCGCCCTGCACTCCCACCTCCCAGGCCTGAATCTCAGAAAGACCTGGAGCTGCTGGCTGGGGGAGAGAGGCTTTCTGAGCTGTAGTCATGACTGGAGAACACAAAGGTGACACCTTGCCAAGGTACTGTGAAGGCGCCCCTGGCTATCTCCTAAGACAGCAGAGCCCCAGGGAAGTGGCCTGGGAAGCTAAGGATGCACACAGACTCTGAGGTTCCTGAGCTCTTGGCATTGGAGTGCCCATAGAAAGACACGCAGTGCAGTGGCCATCTCAGGTTTGGTTACTTTCAGAGGTTCTTGAATGGAGAAAGACGGCACTGCAGCAGAAAACAAAAATGGTAGTGAGAACAGAGACACACTCCAGGGAAATCCACCCAGTCAAGATGGAATGCCTATCCCTAGAAGCTCCTATACTAGAAACTCCCATCATGCCATGGGACAGCAACCTCTGGTGACAATTAGGAGAAAAGGCATCAAGTCACTCTCCCAACTCAATCTGTGATAAAGCATGGGCCACTCTCCCACAGGAGAACAGCATGGGCTCTGTGTTTTGGAATTGGTCCAGGCACATGGGTAAATGCAGGGAGAGTGGCTGGACAAGAATAATACAGATGCTGTGGTGGCCCACCTCCCATGCTCCCAAACTCAATACTGCCAACATGTGGCCTATCCCCTCCCCAGCCCCGACTCCACACTGACGCCATGTGGCTTACCCCTTCCCCAGCTTCCACTTAATGCTCACACCTCAGGCCTGTGCTTCCTGAACACCAGCTGTCGAATGGGAAGCTGTGGCTTCTCCTCCTGTCTCCTTTGTTGGCTGGAGCTGCAGGATCATGGCCTGCAGTGTTTCCTTCACCATCTGGAGCTCCCCTTGGAGAGACTGTGGATGCTGTTAAGGAGCACACAAAGAGGAGGCCCCCATAGGGCCCGTGAGAGCAAGCCAGGCTTCAGAGAGCAGGAGAACTCCAGCAATTAAGTATTAATGTAAATTTTATACTTCCTCTTTTAAAAACCATCATGACTTCTGCCAGTTCTAAGAAAACAGCCAAAAAGAATGTAGCAAATGGTAACACAGGCTAGATAAGGGCTATCCCAAGAAACCGGTTCTCTAGACATTCAACAAAATACTTAACCAACAGTAGTCTTTCTGTTCCTACATAATCAGGTCCCCCACCTCTTCCTTCTGTGCCACTGTCAAAACTCTGAGTTGGGTTGAATAAGCAAAAGAATACAATCTCATCCAGTAAAGACAATGGGAAAGGAGAAATAAGTTGATAGTTCCTAACTATGCCCAACTCTTCAGGTGAGATCAAGTCACCATGAAGTCAGACATGTAAGAAGCTGAGTTTGAGGATAGTGCAGAGACCTAAGAGGCCACAGGCCACCTGCACTGCAATGTTGTTCTCCTCGGGTTCAACGTCAAAACAGGTCCAAAGAGAGCCATGCCCTTGGGGTATAACTAATAAAACTTCTCCCAATCTTTTCAAAATAAGAAGCTTCATCGGATCTTGGGAAATATGCAAATGAGCCTTTCCCAAACAGAAATGCCAATCCACCCTGGAAAGTTTTCCATTTTTTTTTAATCTTCTGGAAGTTTCAGCAGATTTCATTTTTTGGATCATGTACATACACTACCAGGATGGTCCACCATGTGCACTTACACTTGAAGGAATAAGGGCAGTATAGTACAGGCAGAGCAAGAGAGGAAGGGATCCACTGAAACACCTTTATGTTTTGTTGTAAAAAGTGATTTTATCCTCCAGACCTCTGAAGAGGTCTACAAATCTTGGGGGGGGAGGGTCATATAACTTTATGCAAGCCAAAACGTGTGCCCCAAACTGCAGTGTGTCCCAGGATCTGGTCCCTTGTAAGGAGTGAGCAGTGTGCACAGTGGCCTTGAATCCTGAAACTGACTGGGGTCTGGTTACCTTTGACACTGGTCTGGGGTAACACAGCACTCTATTCTCTGCTAAGTGATGGCAGAGGCCCTTACAGAGAGAAATGAAGCCACACACTGGTGCTCAGAAAACTTCTGGGACCACAGAGAAAACTAAAAAGGCTGAGGACAGAGAAAAGCCACCAGAGGAAAAGCCTAATTTATAAAATTAACACATCAGTTTCACACATAATAATTTCCATTATTGCACCAAAGAATCAGTAAGATGGGCTCTGAGAAGGCAAGTCCCCTGGGAAGCCAGGAAAATCACATCATGTGTACTTAATTGTCCCATCTGTAAACTATAGAATCTCACAGCTTAGTCACAGAGGAAGGGCCTAAGGTGTGTGTGTGTGGGGGGGAGTAGATGGAGAAGGAGGGAGGGGGAGAGAGAGAGAGCCTTTTGTGAGGTACCACAAGGTTTATGGCTGATTTCCCAGCACAGCGTCTGAAAACCTCATTTACAAAGCCTTTGGCATAAGAAACACTAATACAATTAAAATCATATTCATAGGGACTTGAGAGATGGCCCAGCAGCTGAGAGCATTTGCTGCTCTTGCAGAAGACTCCAGTTCAGTTCCCAGCACCTCCATCACGTGGCCAGCAACTGCATGTACCTCCAGGACTCCAGGATCAGAGGATTGGACACCCTTTTCTGACCTCCACAGGTACCTGCACTCATGTGCACGTGTCACCCCACCCCCCAACACACACACACACACACACACACACACACACACACACACACACACACACACACACACTTAAAAACAAAGCCCAAATCTTAAAAAAAAAAAAAAAATCATGTTCCTATTTACAAAACTTCACCTTCTGGCTCTCAGCCATACATTGTGGAGGGATGGGGGAGCAAAACAGTTGATGTGTGCTGAAATCCAAAAGTCCAGAATAAAAATGGAACTAGGGATGGGGGTGAAAGGGTGGGAGCAGTCACAGAGCAGGTCTATGGAAGAATTTTGGAATAAATATTCCAGACATTACGATGGTGGCATCTTCCAGACAGAGGCCCTGGGAGGGAGATGTTTAAACCCCCCATGCCTCTGAGAAGCTAGCTCCCTGCAACTCAGAGAAAGCATTCGTGAATACTCCTCACTTTACACTGGAAGAAAGGAATAAGCAGACAGGAATTCTTTCTTTTCTTCTCTCATTCAATAGATTGGCAATAGCTTTGATCCTACTGGGTATAGGGTGTATTTTCCCCAAAGCAGCCCAGAATTGGCTCTTGGTGGCGGGTTAAAAACCTGTGAGGGGAGCAGAGAACAAACATGTAGGCATGTAGATGGCATGTGGGCCATGCTGAAAGTTCCAGGGAGATGGTAACCCTGGCTCAGTACACTGGGTGCCCTAAAGAGGATGCACGGAAGGGACAAGGCACACAGAGAATCATGAGGCACTCGTGGCAGCGGCTGTGACAGTGACAAAGGGAAGAGGACTCTGGATGGGAAAGGAGGTACTGATAATCGGTCTGAGAAAAGAACTGAGAAAACAGATTGCAGTGTGCCGAGAAAAAATGCAGGAAGGTGTGCATGGGAAGGGAAGAGGGGAGAGGATTCAGGCTTTGTTGTCTGTGTTCAGAGACTGTCTCTTACCATGATGGGCTGGCATCACAGAGCTGTACTACTAATCTGAGCTTGGGAATTCAACTTTGGACACAGTAAAGGAGAAATACGAAGTTAGTCAAGAGAAACATAGTGGGAAAGGGACTGAGTTGCTTTTCAGAGAAGGTCAAGGCTAGAGATGTGCACTTGAGGTCACACTAAACATGTATTTGAAAAGTATTTCTAGAATATTGCCCCATTGATATATAGAAAAACATTAAACTGTCTTTATGATCTAACCAAGATTATCTCCTCCTCTTCTTCCTTCCCACTCTCTTCTTTGCCCTTTCTCCCCTTCCCTCCCCTTCCCTCCCCTTCCCTCCCCTTCCCTCCCCTCC